GCGGTCCAAGCCTAATAGAGCTGTCACTTGGAATCCCATGCTGCTGGGGTAAATGGCAAACTAACGTTCTGTTCAACATGCCTGAGCATCATGGGTATTAGCTAAATCATTTGCTAAGATCGAATGAAACGAAAACCATCAACAAAAATAGTTCGTAGTTCCCTGTGTGCAGCTTGAGTCAGACTACCGCGGACTGCATCACTCAACTGACGGATGATCAGAGGAGCTCATCAGTGATGATAGATGGTACCTAAAAGGCTGCAACCGCCTATTTGGAAGTCCTCGGCTCAGGTGGGACGATGAGCAAAAAGTGAAATATGGAAGCTGAGGCGATAAATGGCACGAGACAGATGAGCGTGAGAATCGAGACTAGGCAATGGTGATCCCGTTTAATAACGAAGTTTCACTCATTTGCTTTATTGTGGTTGTTGTCACTTGCCACTTTGACGGCATCCCTAATAATCATCATTTGTGCATTTGTAAGTTTAAATCAATCCCTTGATTTGCAGGAGTTTTTTTTTAATGTTTACTTTAGAAACTTCCAAACGCGGATTTTCCGGGACTTGATTTTCCGAATCCGGAAGAGGGAGCACCTGTTTTGGTATGTGTTTAATGAGTATTGTTAGTGCTGTCGGTCGTAGCTGTTATGCCTTATTTTTAATGGATAACCGTTTTCACACCGGTTCTCGTACATATAATGAAACAACTTGATCTGGTTATTTGGATTGCCTTTTGAAAAGGCGTTGGGTTAAAGTCAGTTTCTCTTGACTAATTTTATTACAAAAGTATGGATTCATATGCCAAAATATTTTCATGAGTTTTTGACTCATCGACGACAAAATTTCAAGTGTATTTCCTTTCTCACTTGCTTTCATACTTTTGTATGTTTGGAACACCATTTAAGCATTTTAAGGTTCCTTGATATTTAAACAGCCGCTGCAGCATATGACTTTCATGCGCTTTTAACATACTAAGTTAAAAACGTATGAACATGCTTAGAACATAGTATCATACCGTTGTACAATCTCTTGTGTATTCTCCGAATTCGCACATTGTGCTCGCGCCGTCTTTGTTCTTCTTGTAGTGTAGGAGATTGTTTAAGTATACCTCTGCTCCATGGCATTTTAGAACCTGCATGTCATG